ATCCGCTTTAAAGGTAAGTCACTACTAATTTTTCGTATTCCTCATATATAATAGTTGCATTAACATCGTCTATCTTTTTTCTACTCTTCTCATCATTTTGTTCTCTCGTATATAACTTGCAATTTCTCTTAATTTGACTCTCTTTACTATAATGATAATATTTGAACTTCCTTTTTTTATGGAATTTTTCTTTAGATTTACCATACCCTTTAAGACCTTTACTCTTACTCATACTTTTATTCTTTATGAAAAGAGCATGTGAAGAATCTATACTAGCATCTATGCATATGATCTTGTTATTTTCTATGTTGTTTTTTTACCATATATAAAGCAATAATTTTATTAGGAGTAGAACCTAATAAAGTCTACAATTGTTATTTTCTGAACTGTTTGGTAAAGAACTTAATGAAGTCCGCAATTCATCATCAAGTTTTATTTTTATAATATTTAACTGATTCATTAAATCATGAAATCACTAGATGTTCTATTGTGGCTTACTCTTTCTTTAAACTTTAAGTTTATTAGCATCTTGATTGTCTAGACTTTTATTCCAAGTGTTTTTCCTCTTGCATATATCTAGCTTTTTCTACAATGCTTGAATATCAATTTCATTGCTAATGTGAGGATAAGTACTCAGCCCATTGCCTAAAATATTCTCTCCGGTTTTTGTGCAATTTTTTCTGATCATAATCATATTTTCTATTGAGTTTATTTTCTCTAGTTTAAGATCAAATAATCTTTTATGGTACAAATAATTTTTCATAATTGATTTTTAAATAGAATAATTTGTACATGATAGTTTAATTATTGACAGTGCTAGATTATTAATTTTAATTCACACAATTATTTTTTATTTTATACAATAAGACTCTATTATGATATTATTTGTTGCGCTCTGAATAATACTAATTATATAAATTTAATTAAATTCAATTATAAAAAAAAGTCAATCTTACTGCATGAAAAAAATAAATACAAAATAAAATATGAGAAGTGAAAAATCATTCAATAGAAAAAAAAATGCTAGAGAAACTTGGAATCAGATCCACTCAACAGTATATGTATAGCAGCTTGTGTTCATACATACATATATATATATATATATATATATGTATTTACCTATTTTATGCCAGCTAAATAGGAAGCAAGTGCACATGAAATAAAAGGGGAGAAGGTTAGAAGTTTGACTTATCCATCCAAACTACTCTCTGAAATCATGGCGGCATTTTCCAACTAACCAAATATTGTGCACACACGACTGCCTTCTTGTCTCTTTTGTTTACAAGTCAACTTCCAAACCACTTGGATCTTATTCCTTATAACTTGCAACTTTTATATCCTAATTTAAAAATACTATAAGAAATAAAATTTCACATTTTATTACAAAATTCAGCCTCCTCTTATTCAAAAGCAGCCCCACTAAAAGCATCCTGTGCTCGATATATATATATATATATATATATATATATTATTACATTGTTGGAAGTTTGAATGATGGTTAAATTTATCCATGTTTGTTAGCTGGGAATAAAGGCACATGAAATCTGGATGAGAAGATAATCCACTACAAAATGTTTGCTAAAAAGCAAGAATAATTCTCAAAGCTCCCCCCAACCGTAATCACGGACACAAATAAAAAAGCCTGGCTTACAAAAATAAAATCCACGAAGCTATGAAACACTTTTGTCATGTCTGTTCAAAGTTATGAACTGCAGTTTTCACTCACTCCCAAGATTTACAACTTCAGTAAAATTACATTTCACTCCAATATTGAAAATCCAAATGGGAAATAAGAACTTCATGACCCTACTTATGCTCCAGATGAGCCCCTCCTCAATCAGAACAAAGGGCCACTTCCTTTCAGGACGTACAACTACAGATCAACAAAACAAATTATTGACACTTGCCAGTTTACGAGGAGTTCTTCTTTTAAAAAATACAAGGTTTGGTTGTCTCTGTCCTTTTCAAACCAAATATGGAAACGGATTTAGAGGAAGAAAATGAAATAAAGCAGGAGAGCAGAAATTGAATTCAGAACCATGTGAACACCCGGCAATATTTGCAGAAAAAGGAGGTTTATGTAGGTTGCATGTGGCTCAAAATAAGTGACAAGACAGAAATTGATCAACAGATAGGAGTGCATCATACGGGAACTAATCTCCACAGTCCCTGGTTTTTGCATATGGAAGTTCAGGCAGCACTAACTTGTTAAAATATACGATAAGGTCATAAAAAGTATCTGTAGAAGAAGCCACAAAAAAGTAGATAAACAGGCATCTTGACAGGGATCATAAGCAAAAACCCAGAGGAAAAAAAGGGAATGTAACTTCGCCAGATAGTGTGAATAAACATCATGCTGCAAAAGAGCCAGTGCATTTACTAACAACCACAGTTCTTGAGCGTCTGCATTCACCAGTTATGCTTCACATGAAGAATGGAGTGGAAGATGGCATGTTCTGTATCTAGTAAGAAGTAATACACATGCAGAATTTCTAGATAAATTTCTAGATAAAGAATCTTAATTGTTCATTAACAAACGCTGCATGCAGAAACATCACCCTCCTAATCTTTAAAGAGGTGTTATGATGGTGGTCTCTGCAATCAAAGGGTGCTACCAATGTTTCTGGGCCTTCAGACAAGAAACTCATTGCAATAAATCTGAAATGAAATTCAATGAAATGGCTACACAACTTTGATTCAATTGTTTCATATAAAATTACAGAATTCCCGAGACACGACTAAGAAGCATTGGAACATCTCATATGAAATTTAAACTATTATATAGTAGAAGACAAAATATCACAATGCGGTAGTCACAAAACTTAGAATCATCGAACAATTCTCATTTCAAGGACAAACCGTTATACATTGTAAAGGATATGTAGATACACAATATCATAATGACACAACTCGGAAGCATTGGCCATTTACTATGCTATTCAAGGTCAAACTGTTATATTTGAAAACCTAGAGTGGATACAGAATTTGTAATTAATCTTTCATGTCGGAGAACTTTCAAATCAAACCTACTAAAAACTGCTTTGCAGCCATTTATACATGGACGCAACATAAAAAACATAAGAAATGAGATGAAAGACGAGACCGACATAGTTACTGCAAGGTAGCTGCAGAGCTGCCATACCAGTCTCCCCTACAGATCCAATGCAGCAGCATAGCAAGGAAGTAATATCCTTTGTGAATCAGTCTCTGCACGGGTACCTTCCATGCTCATTCAGGTAAAGCTTTTGCTAATCCTACAATCCTCCAAATATCAATAATGAGTATTCTTGCATACTATATTCTATCAACAATTCCAAGCTTCAAATGATTTAGTTCAAAACTAAAAATGAAAGCCAAACAACTTTGCTTTCTCATTTGCTGATCTCCACATGGAGAAGCCTCATTATCACTAAAAGGAACCAAGTATAACTATTCTGTACATTTCAACCCACTTAGGTAAACCTGAGACTGAATCACTGTCCTGCCAATTCTAAACCCAGGAACCACCGTGAAAGCTACCTTCCCACAAGCTTTACTTGAAAAGTTACATCTTCTTGTGACATCTTCCATGTAGACCATTGAAAAATCAACCCCTCTTTCAACTTGAAAAATCTCAACCACAGGATCAAATGAAAATGCCAGCTTATTAAGTGTCCATATTGAACTAGCCATGTTAACAAATGACTCATAGAATATAGATACCGATCTCCATGAGTTCAAAATTACTTCTCTTTTGTCCAAATTGCTGAATATGGATAATTCAATAGTCGGGTGAATAAGAGCTTGGTACTTGTTTTCACAAAATCTAGAGAACTCACAATCAGGTCTCCTACTAAGCAAGTCCATGGGATTGCTTGATACATGCTCAAGTAATTGCATCAACGGATCATTACTCTCATCAGAATCTGAAATATGCCCGTTACATGCAACTTCACTGTCACTCAAACCATAGCTTTTCGAGCCAAAACCTCGATACATTCCCAAACAAATGTATGATAGGAGAGCATACCGATTATGCCTTTTTTTAGAATAACCTATACCAGGATGAACAGAATTCGCGGCCAATTCCATATCCCACCCAGCTTTTCTCATCAAATCAACCAAAATCTTACTAAATTTATGCGTTTCTCTACATGCATCATGTAACAAAGAATCGAAAACTTTAACAGATAACAGAACATCACGCGATGAATTCAAATTACCAGATAGTTTCTTCGAGAGCTTCTCATTAGACTTCTGAATCTCACTCAATTTCTTCTTCGATGCTGAAACTTGTGCATCCTTTTGATCAATCTCTGCTTGTAACCTGTTTGAGACGGTCTCTAGTGCTCTAAGCTTGCTCTGATTCTCTTGTACATGAGCTTCCAAGCAAGACCCAAGAGGCAAATCTTCGTCGAAATCCGGATTTTTGCAGTAATCCCTGAAGAATTGCTTCAAATCAGAAAGTCTGCGGAGATGCGACACAAGAGCCCTATCAGCCGTCTTCACACTCTCCTCCTCGAAGGGCACATGAGCAGTCTGCAGCTGAAGATACGAAGCCTCAAAAGAAGAAAGAGTGGCAAAAGTCGACGAAATTAGGCTCTGGGTGATCTGGGTATTTAAAGTCCTAATCCGAGTTTGGCCTGAAGATAACTTTTGGGTCGAGGTATCAATGAACGGCGAAGTCGTTGGTGATCCCGGTAACGGGGTTTTGGCATGGGGAGGTTTATCTGGCTTGATGACGACTACTTTCTGGTCGGGAATGAAGTCCTCAGCAGAGTCTAGAAGAGATAAACCATCGGAGTCAGAAGGGTCGTTATCTTCGTCGGCGAAGAACTCGAAGGTTTTGGTCTTGAAAGCAATGGCGAATTTCTGGAACATTTGGGATATCTGTGGGGGATTAGGTTTTGACAACGAATTCTCCATTTCGGGCATGGAAGAATTCGTTATGGGATTGAATCGAAGTCAGCGTAAACTGTAGAAAAGATTGGAGAGAATTCTTGAGTTCTAGTGCTTCTGGTGCCTTGGATGTCTTGGAAGGAAAGTATGTATGCGGGTTTTTATTTTAATTGTTTATTTTTATTCTTTTTCCTCCTCTAATTCTGCGGACTTTTAATTTTTTTAGAATTCTTTATTCATTCTATTTTTCATAATTTGGTTAACGGTAATAAGGGTTAAAGCTAAAACGACCACGGGGGTGATTCACGTAGCATGAAAGTCTCATACTTTTTGATGGGCTAAAAAACAATTATTTATTATATAATTTTGATTAAAAAATATTTATTTTTTTTTTTTTTTGTGTGTCTAAATTCACCTTAAAATTTTAAATTATGTTCACATAATATT